TATCTATATATCTATCTATCTATCTATCTATCTATCTATCTGTCTATCTATCTATCTATCTATCTATCTATATCTATCTATCTATCTATCTATCTATCTATCTATCTATCTATCTATCTATCTATCTATCTCTATCTCTCTCTATCTGTCTATCTATCTATCTATCTATCTATCTATCTGTCTATCTATCTATCTATCTATCTATCTATCTATCTATCTATCTATCTATCTATCTATCTATCTATCTATCTATCTATCTATCTATCTGTCTGTCTATCTATCTATCTATCTATCTATCTATCTATCTATCTATCTATCTATCTATCTATCTATCTATCTATCTATCTATCTATCTATCTATCTATCTATCTATCTATCTATCTATCTATCTATCTATCTATCTATCTATCTATCTATCTATCTATCTATCTATCTCTATCTATCTATCTATCTATCTATCTATCTCTCTATCTATCTATCTATCTATCTATCTATCTATCTATCTATCTATCTATCTATCTATCTATCTATCTATCTATCTATCTATCTATCTATCTATCTATCTATCTATCTATCTATCTATCTATCTATCTATCTATCTATCATCGGTCGGTGGGTCTGTGCGGTCTATCTGTCTAACTATTACTATACAAAACCTCACTGTCTCATCAATATTCTAACAAAACACACATAATCATAGTCACATATCAATAGCCACATACCAATAGCAACATAATCATAGATACATACCAATAGGAGCATAACCATAGCGACATAACCATAGCGACACAGCCATAGCAACATAACCATAGCGACATAACCATAGCGACATAACCATAGCGACATAACCATAGCGACATAACCATAGCGACATAACCATAGCGACATAACCATAGCGACATAACCATAGCAACATAGCCATAGCGACATAACTGTGACTGAACCATTCCGTGACATGCATTCACACATACTCAAGCAGTCTCATACATAGATACACTCACACAAACACACTCACTGAGCTCCATTTTCAGGTCATTGCCCACACAAGCACCCACACTATGGAACTCATCAGTAAAAACAACATTATGAACCACAACAACCAGTCTAGCCAGCACACATTTAGGCACACACTGTAAACATACATACATTTGTCCGTTAGCTCTGCCACTGATTATTAAACGCTAAAATCCCATTTAGCATTCATACAACGTCGGCCTGGATGTGAAAACAAGGCATGCACGACCAGGCTTTAAATAACATACACTGTGAGGTCTATATTTAGAACGTGTGCTCCACTGTAGAAACTCCAGGGTTTCTCGGAAAATTAATTCAGTTGGTCGAAGCATCCCTGTACTTATTTGAGTTGCAGATTCTCAAGAAGGCAGGCGTTTCGAACAAGGATGTGTACACAAGGAAATTTGTAGACGGGAGGCCGGATTTATTTTTAAAATTTTTTGGATAAATGAAAATGTTGAAGAACACAAAATGTACTGTTTGGGATTCCTTAGAACGAGGCAGTCACAATATATTTGAAAGTGTCGTCTTCACCATACAAGTTAACAACAATATATACGTGCATCTGTTGTTGTCTTTGAGAATACTGCATGACAGGAAGCCAATCTCTTCCATAGGCAGACTCTTACATGCACTGCGGTCTGAAAACTGAGAGCACGTCCAGGGGCGGCTTAAACGTTGACTCTTTTAGGGCGGCGAAAGTGTTGAACTCTTTTGGGGTGGCTTAAATGTTGAATTCTTTTGGGGCGGCTTAAATGTTGAACTCTTTTGAGGCAACCTACGTGTTGAACTCTATTGTGGCGGCTTAAATGTTGAACTCTTTTGTGACAGTTTAAATGGTGAACTCGTTAATGGCGGCTTAAATGTTGAACTCTTTTGTGACCGTTCAAAAATTGAACTCTTTTAGGGTGGCTTAAATGTTGAACTCTTTTGGGGCGGCTTAAATGTTGACCTTTTCGGCGACTTAAATGTTGAGCTCTTTTGGGGCGGCTTGAATTTTAAACTTTTTTTGGAGAGGCTTGCATGTTAACTTTTGAGGGCGACTTACGTGTTGAAATATTTTTTGGGGCGGCTTTAATGTTGAATTCCTTTGGAGCGGCTTAAAAGTTTAACTCCTTTGGACTACAGAAAGAAGAAAAGGTTCAGTAGTGGCCTCAACACTTCTCACAACACTGCACAACTATGGGCAAGGGTTCGAACTCTTGCACGAAGACTCTCAAGCTTTGGGTTCAATGCGTCAACACACTGTGAGACTGTGATTGTATATGTGCATGTGTGTGTATGTATGTGCATGTGTGTGTATGTATGTGCATGTGTGTGTATGTTTGTGTATGTGTGTGTATGTATGTGTGTGTATATGCGTGTGTGAAAGAGAGAGAGAGAGAGAGAGAGAGAGAGAGAGAGAGAGAGAGAGAGAGAGAGAGAGAGAGAGAGAGAGATGTATTTATTGATGTAGGTGTGCAGGACGTGAATGTTTTAATGAACGTGACAGTCAGTGTGTACGTGTGTGTGTATGTGTGTGACCGACGTGGGTGTTTTACCAGGTGTGCTATGTGGGAGACAGTGTATGTATAGCTGTGTATATGTGTGTGCACGCGCATGTCTGATTGTGTGGTATACATCCGGAGGTTTGATCTCTGCACTCTGAGACAGCTGATAGAGCAGAGACCACAGAAGTCGACACGTTGTTAATTAGGAAATAGACATGCGATAGAGCAGAAGCTGATCGGGGAACCCAGCAACAGAAAGGTACAGAAGACACCAAGATGTTCACCAGTTTCTGGCACACAATGACAACGGGTAGGTAGCGAGAACAGCAAGAAGTGTTTTCTAAGAGATTTGTTGATCTCTCTCACTCTCACTCACTCACTCACTCACTCACTCACTCACTCACTCACTCACTCACTCACTCACTCACTCACTCACTCACTCACTCACTCACTCACTCACTCACTCAATCACTCACTTACTCACTCTCTCACGCGCGCACGCCCTCAGTTACTCACTCACTCACGCTCGCTCACTCACTCCCACTTACGTCTTACTCACTCACTCACTCACTCATTCACTCACTCACTTACTCACTCACTCACTCACTCATTCACTCACTCACTCATTCACTCACTCACTCCCTCATTCACTCACTCACTTACTTATTCACTCACTTACTCCCTCATTCACTCACTCACTTACTTATTCACTCACTCACTTACTTATTCACTCACTCACTCCCTCATTCACTCACTCATTCATTAGTTACTCTATTTGACCTTCTCTTCCTTAAGCTATCTAACATCCTATTTTGTGCGCCCCCCCCCCCCCCCCAGCCCCCCATGCCACACCCACGTCTTTCTTCATCTTCTCTCTCTCTCTTTCTCTCTATCTCTTTTCTCTCTCTCTCTCTCTCTCTCTCTCTCTCTCTCTCTCGCTCGCTCGCTCGTTCAAAATCCCACACTTGTGTCAACAGCAAAGACACGTACTTCTCCTTGTCTATCAACACGGATGTGAATGACTGGCTCCGGCAGATTGAATCCAAACAATCGTTAAACAGACAGACAGAAATGGGACTAAAAATAGAACAGGATAGTAATGTTATTGTTAAGGAATAACAACAGGAGGACGGCGGAAAGAGACATTAAGGAATAACAACAGGAGAACGGCAGGAAGAGACATTAAGGAATAACAACAGGAGAACGGCAGGAAGAGACATTAAGGAATAACAACAGGAGAACGGCAGGAAGAGACATTAAGGAATAACAACAGGAGAACGGCAGGAAGAGACATTAAGGAATAACAACAGGAGGACGGCGGAAAGAGACATTAAGGAATAACAACAGGAGGACGGCAGGAAGAGACATTAAGAAATAACAACAGGAGGATGACAGGAAGAGACATTAAGGAATAACAACAGGAGAACGGCAGGAAGAGACATTTAGGATTAACAACAGGAGAACGGCAGGAAGAGACATTAAGGATTAACAACAGGAGAACGGCAGGAAGAGACATTAAGGATTAACAACAGGAGAACGGCAGGAAGAGACATTAAGGATTTACAACAGGAGAACGGCAGGAAGAGACATTAAGGATTAACAACAGGAGAACGGCAGGAAGAGACATTAAGGATTAACAACAGGAGAACGGCAGGAAGAGACATTAAGGATAACAACAGGAGGACGGCAGGAAGAGACATTAAGGATTAACAACAGGAGAACGGCAGGAAGAGACATTAAGGATTTACAACAGGAGAACGACAGGAAGAGACATTAAGGATTAACAACAGGAGAACGGCAGGAAGAGACATTAAGGATTAACAACAGGAGAACGGCAGGAAGAGACATTAAGGATTTACAACAGGAGAACGGCAGGAAGAGACATTAAGGATTAACAACAGGAGAACGGCAGGAAGAGACATTAAGGATTAACAACAGGAGAGCGGCAGGAAGAGACATTAAGGATTTACAACAGGAGGACGGCAAGGAGATACACCGAGGAATAATAACATGACACGGTAGAGAGAGAGAGACTTCCTAGAACAATTATGAAAAGTGTAGTATCACATATACATCCCCACCGTATGCTACCAGTGCCAAACATGGTCACTCACAACAAAACGTAACATAAAATTAGTAATGGTAAGGGAAATGAGGTGTCTGAGAAAGACTAGGAGTGACCAGAAGAGATGAAATTAGGAATGAGGCCATACGAGATCAAGTCGGCACAGAACAGATTCTAAATTACATATAAAGACAGCAAATCAAATGGTTTGCCCACTTGGAGAGAATAGCTTCTGATTCTATACCACACAAGGCCTATAGCAAACGAGGAAAGGAACGTAGATAAAGAGGTAGACCAAGAAAAACATGGGAAGATAACAGCAGAGAAACTCTACAGCACCACGATGTGTCTTTGGTCGAAGCAGCCAGAAGAGCACGAAGCACGACCTGATATCTCCCTCAACACCGGAAGCGACAAAAGAAGACGTAAAGAAGATGAAGACACCGGAAGCGACAAAAGAAGACGTCAAGAAGATGAAGACACCGGAAGCGACAAAAGAAGACGTAAAGAAGATGAAGACACCGGAAGCGACAAAAGAAGACGTCAAGAAGATGAAGACACCGGAAGCGACAAAAGAAGACGTCAAGAAGATGAAGACACCGGAAGCGACAAAAGAAGACGTCAAGAAGATGAAGACACCGGAAGCGACAAAAGAAGACGTAAAGAAGATGAATATACCGGAAGCGACAAAAGAAGACGTCAAGAAGATGAAGATACCGGAAGCGACAAAAGAAGACGTCAAGAAGATGAAGATACCGGAAGCGACAAAAGAAGACGTCAAGAAGATGAAGATACCGGAAGGGACAAAAGAAGACGTCAAGAAGATGAAGACACCGGAAGCGACAAAAGAAGACGTAAAGAAGATGAAGATACCGGAAGCGACAAAAGAAGACGTCAAAAAGATAAAGATACCGGAAGCGACAAAAGAAGACGTCAAGAAGATGAAGATACCAGAATGACAAAAGAAGACGTCAAGAAGATGAAGATACCGGAATGACAAAAGAAGACGTCAAGAAGATGAAGACACCGGAAGCGACAAAAGAAGACGTCAAGAAGATGAAGATACCGGAATGACAAAAGAAGACGTCAAGAAGATGAAGATACCGGAATGACAAAAGAAGACGTCAAGAAGATGAAGATACCGGAATGACAAAAGAAGACGTCAAGAAGATGAAGATACCGGAATGACAAAAGAAGACGTCAAGAAGATGAAGATACCGGAATGACAAAAGAAGACGTCAAGAAGATGAAGATACCGGAATGACAAAAGAAGACGTCAAGAAGATGAAGATACCGGAATGACAAAAGAAGACGTCAAGAAGATGAAGACACCGGAAGCGACAAAAGAAGACGTCAAGAAGATGAATATACCGGAAGCGACAAAAGAAGACGTCAAGAAGATGAAGATACCGGAAGCGACAAAAGAAGACGTCAAGAAGATGAAGACACCGGAAGCGACAAAAGAAGACGTCAAGAAGATGAAGACACCGGAAGCGACAAAAGAAGACGTCAAGAAGATGAAGATACCGGAAGCGACAAAAGAAGACGTCAAGAAGATGAAGACACCGGAAGCGACAAAAGAAGACGTCAAGAAGATGAAGACACCGGAAGCGACAAAAGAAGACGTCAAGAAGATGAAGAGGAAGAAGAAGAAGTAGAACACCAAGAACACACACACACACTCTCTCTCTCACACACACACACACACACTCTCTCTCTCACACACACACACTCTCTCTCTCACACACACACACACTCTCTCTCACACACACACACACTCTCTCTCGCACACACACACACTCTCTCTCCCTCTCTCTTTCTCTCCCTCTCTTTTTCTCTCCCTCTCTTTCTCTCAAAAGAATGCATGGCGTGTACAGACAAAATGCAGACTTTGGGTAAATAAATGCATCCCCCAAACACTGTCTGATAAGAGCCAAACACTGTCTGATAAGAGCCAAACACTGTCTGATAAGAGCCAAACACTGTCTGATAAGAGCCAAATACTGTCTAATAAGCGCCAAAAACTATCTGATAAGAGCCAAACACTGTCTGATAAGAGCCAAACACTGTCTGATAAGAGCCAAACACTGTCTGATAAGAGCCAAACACTGTCTGATAAGAGCCAAACACTGTCTGATAAGAGCCAAACACTGTCTGATAAGAGCCAAACACTGTCTAATAAGAGCCAAACACTGTCTGATAAGAGCCAAACACTGTCTGATAAGAGCCAAACACTGTCTGATAAGAGCCAAACACTGTCTGATAAGAGCCAAACAGTGTCTGATAAGAGCCAAACACTGTCTGATAAGAGCCAAACACTGTCTGATAAGAGCCACAAACTGTCTGTTAAGAGCCAAACACTGTCTGATAAGAGCCAAACAAATTTGAGAAAGATAAAAACTGATTAGTTCAGCTAGATCAGACATAAATCAGAAGGACATATCATAGAGTTATACCATACACACAGATTAGGCAGACAGAGTTTTTACGACAGATCAGATAGACGAATTCATAGACATATGAGGCAGACGAGATAGATAGCTGTGTAAGAAGAGCCGAAAGAGGGTTATGGTAGACATATTCATTGACGTATAATATCGACAGATATGATCAACTGGTTAGTTTTCGTACAAAATAGACAGAAGACAGATATAGAGACGACAGACAGCAGAGCAGACAGGCAGAAACATAGACTTTATAGATAGGCAGATAAGATACAGATTCGTATGCACGGTGGATATCTAGGCGTGGTACTTGGGGCAGATTTTAACAAACAATTCCTAAATGTACAGTACAAAACAGATGAAGCAGATAGATCACACAAACAGAACATACAGTTACTCAAATAGACATATTTAATAGACAGATAGATTAATCAATTCGGTGGTCTTTCTGACATACACGGTTTTCTATGCGATCGATACAGGCAAGAGAACAAACGTTTGCAAACAGACACAAACTTACCTCATTACACGGAGGACTGTCCAGAGGTGAAAGAAAGTCATCCGACATAACCACGTGTCTGCCGGACTCGGCCAACTTGTGGTCGCAAGCGAGTGCTAGATCCAGACTGACGAGTGGACCTCAGCTTCCGCCACTTACAAAGGGAGAACACTCTCGTGGATGTGCTCACGTCGACGAGCGGAAACCGACAGCAGCAAGATGGCCGCAGACACACGGCGTATCGATGAGTGCTTGCTGTCGTGTGGCAGAAATCTGAGTTTTAGTAAAGGCTGCTACTCACTCGAATCCACGTGTACATCTGGAATAGACAATGGCGGACACGAGTCAACAAGGGAATCAAAACAGACAAACAATTTCAACACTAAGAAAAGTGGTATTAAAATAATGTCCTCAGCACACAGGGACTAGACTAGGTTAGGCATATCAAACGGGCGGCCTGCGGGCCACATGCGGCTCTTTATAAGCACACTTGCGGTCCTCCCAAAAGAAATTTCTTCTATCAATATTGTTGAATGGCTCGAATTAGTTGTGGCGCACAGTCCTCGTGAGGACATTTGACCCATGTGACCCTGAGTGGACTCCCAGACAACATTTGACCCATGTATCCCTGAGTGGACTCTCAGACAACATTTGACCCATGTGACCCTGAGTGGTCTCTCAGACAACATCTGACCTATGTGACCCTGAGTGGACTCTCAGACAACATCTGACCCATGTGTCCCTGAGTGGACTTTCAGACAACATCTGACCCATGTCTCGCTGAGTGGACTCTCAGACATGTGACCCAGGTGAACTGGACAACAAACAGAAGTAGCTGTAAAACGCCCAATAAGTTAACAACATAAAACACTTCAGAAAATAGATACAAGTTTATCAGTCCTCCGATACATAATGGTATACAAAAGCGTTGAATGCAAGTATTTAAACAAAAATACCAGAAAATATTACAAATATAATGACTGCACGAAAACACTACACAATACAAACTCTCTGTTGGACTAATGCTTACATACACAACTGCGAATCGGTTGTTTGGAATGGTAAAATCCTCGTACTGACTAAAAACACATGCACTAAGATTATCGACCGTTCAGGAGTCACAAAAAATTAGATTTACATTTTGATGGCAAACGGTACATGGTCGACTCAACTATAGGCGGATACAGGAGTGATGGGCAAACTTCCGGAATTGTATGTTAGATGTTTCAGGGAACCGTCGCGGACCTGGGGGGGGGGGGGGGATTACTTGGGACAAGAACACGGAAAACACATGTGTCAATATTGAATTAGGGTTGCAGGACATGACACAGCCAGAAGTAGGGCAAGTGTGTGTCACACATACTCGAGAAACCAGATTTCGATCGTTAGTGGCTTTTTAGGGTAGAAGTGGAGGGGGGTGTGTGTCAGGCATAGTACATGTTTGCCTGTCTGCCACACAGACGCGCGCACACACACACACACCCTCTCACATATATGTAACTATTTATACATATGTATACATATGTATGTATGTGTGTATGTTATCACAATCAACATAACTGCACACTAGGCATTCCCATGAGTGCTAAGTCCTCCGATACAGCAGCCACTCCAAGGTAGCTCTATGGATATTTCCCATGAGGAGTTGGTGATAATGTCTCCTAGCTCGGCCTTGAGGGCGGCATTGGCGTGCTTTACCATAAAGGGATTCAATAGGGATAACTGGTACAGGTACATTACAGTACAGCTGAAGACGTCACAAGTCAAACGTCCCGGACAGAATGGAGACTATATGAGATTACTATCCAGCTGTGTTTGCTGATTTCGTAGATGTTCAGATGCAGGGTCGTATTGTGGTTTCAGGGCTTGGAGAGTTAAAGAAGAGCTCTAGAACACAGTTGTTACTATGGGGATCTGACTATGGTTCCAGGTGAGGTGATCAGACTCTACACCTGAGGGACATAGACTGACGTCAGTAGATCTGATGGCTCAGGGCAGCTTTGTCTCTCAGAGTTTAAACTGTCACTCTGACAGAGTATTCAAGAATAACAATAACAATCAATACAGATAAACATAAGGTACCAGTATACTTCAGCAGTGCGCCGCCACGAATCACAGCGTATACTGTGCAAAAGGAAACATTTGTGCGTCCGAATGTGTTAATGAGCCTCTTCGGCTTACAGTTGCCTGTCGCCCTGGTTTCCACAGACCTGCCCTCCATATTTGTTGCTTGCACGTTTGTCAACAGACATTTTAAGACTTTCGAAATCCAAAGCGACAAAACTCCAAGCATCGTCAAAGCTCTCCCATTTGTTTCTCGCCGTCGTCTTATTTTGAAACAATAGAAACAGTCACTGAGTGAGACGAACCGTGTTGTGTAGGCGTCAACCTCTGATCTACACCAACTCGACCAGCTCTCTCAGCATAGACAAATTTGAGAAAAAACTAAATATTTTTCTTCTGTTTTCATCCAAATATGCAAATTCATTTGACCGTTTCAGAAAGGCTAGGATATTTGGAACTTTCGGTCGACACATCCGAATTCCGCACATTTGATCAACCGTTAGCTTTCCCGGAAACACTCATACGGTCCAGCTCCTTCTGTGAGCCTGGATAGCCATGCAACAGCCTGGATAGCCATGCAACAGCCTGAATAGCCATGTGACAGCCTGGATAGCCATGCAACAGCCTGGATAGCCATGCAACAGTCTGGATAACCATGCAACAGCCTGGATAGCTATGCAACAGCCTGGATAGCCATGCAACAGCCTTAATAGCCATGCCACAGCCTTAATAGCCATGCAACAGCCTTAATAGCCATGCAACAGCCTGGATAGCTATGCAACAGCCTGGATAGCCATGCAACAGCCTGGATAGCCATGCAACAGCCTGGATAGCCATGTAACAGCCTTAATAGCCATGCAACAGCCTGGATAGCCATGCAACAGCCTTAATAGCCATGCAACAGCCTGGATAGCCATGCAACAGCCTTAATAGCCATGCAACAGCCTGGATAGCCATGCAACAGCCTTAATAGCCATGCAACAGCCTGGATAGCCATGTAACAGCCTTAATAGCCATGCAACAGCCTGGATAGCCATGCAACAGCCTTAATAGCCATGCAACAGCCTGGATAGCCATGCAACAGCCTTAATAGCCATGCAACAGCCTGGATAGCCATGCAACAGCCTTAATAGCCATGCAACAGCCTGGATAGCCATGCAACAGCCTTAATAGCCATGCAACAGCCTGGATAGCCATGCAACAGCCTTAATAGCCATGCAACAACCTGGATAGCCATGCAACAGCCTTAATAGCCATGCAACAGCCTTAATAGCCATGCAACAGCCTTAATAGCCATGCAACAGCCTGGATAGCCATGCAACAGCCTGGATAGCCATGCAACAGCCTTAATAGCCATGCAACAGCCTGGATAGCCATGCAACAGCCTTAATAGCCATGCAACAACCTGGATAGCCATGCAACAGCCTTAATAGTCATGCAACAGCCTTAATAGCCATGCAACAGCCTTAATAGCCATGCAACAGCCTGGATAGCCATGCAACAGCCTTAATAGCCATGCAACAGCCTTAATAGCCATGCAACAGCCTTAATAGCCATGCAACAGCCTTAATAGCCATGCAACAGCCTTAATAGTCATGCAACAACCTGGATAGCCATGCAACAGCCTTAATAGTCATGCAACAGCCTTAATAGCCATGCAACAGCCTTAATAGTCATGCAACAGCCTTAATAGTCATGCAACAGCCTTAATAGCCATGCAACAGCCTTAATAGCCATGCAACAGCCTTAATAGCCATGCAACAGCCTTAATAGTCATGCAACAACCTGGATAGCCATGCAACAGCCTTAATAGCCATGCAACAGCCTGGATAGCCATGCAACAGCCTTAATAGTCATGCAACAACCTGGATAGCCATGCAACAGCCTTAATAGCCATGCAACAGCCTTAATAGCCATGCAACAGCCTTAATAGCCATGCAACAGCCTTAATAGTCATGCAACAACCTGGATAGCCATGCAACAGCCTTAATAGTCATGCAACAGCCTGGATAGCCATGCAACAGCCTTAATAGCCATGCAACAGCCTTAATAGCCATGCAACAGCCTTAATAGCCATGCAACAACCTGGATAGCCATGCAACAGCCTTAATAGCCATGCAACAGCCTTAATAGTCATGCAACAGCCTGGATAGCCATGCAACAGCCTGGATAGCCATGTAACCGCCTTAATAGCCATGCCACAGCCTGGATAGCCATGCAACAACCTGGATAGCCATGCCACAGCCTAGATAGCCATGCCACAGCCTAGATAGCCATGCCACAGCCTGGATAGCCATGCATCAGCCTGGATAGCCGCGCATCAGCCTGGATAGCCGCGCATCAGCCTGGATAGCCGCGCAACAGTCTCGTTTGCGATAGCATAGCACTACATCGCCACCATACTTTGTTTACTCTTGTCGATTCCAATATTTAGATTATTTAATGTTGAGCCGAAAGGTGCAAATATCGCAGCTTAATAGTAAATCACAACAAAACGCCACACCTCCCTTTTAAGGGTGATCAGAGGTTGCGAAGAAGAAGAAAAGAACAAGAACAAGTGTGTCAAAGTGTAGGCTTCTACCTTCTTGTGACAAATCCCCACCCTCCACCCACTCTTAAAGTTTCTCTCACGCATTATGACAGGTAAGAATGAGCAACAACCCAGACTAATGAGATTTCCGTGCATCAAAAATGGCGTATCTGATTATACAACAAGCAACGCCCAAGAAGCATCAATCAGCTAGGCGTAGCACAGATGGTGTTCTTGTTACGGTCAGCTCACATTGTCATAGGGTCACATACAGAAAACAGATAGCTCAACACATACAGAAAACATAGCTCAACACGTACAGAAAACATAGCTCAACACATACTGAATACAGATAGCTCAACACATACAGAAAACATAGCTCAACACATACAGAATACAGATAATTTAACACATACAGAAAACATAGCTCAACACATACAGAATACAGATAATTTAACACATACAGAAAACATAGCTCAACACATACAGAATACAGATAATTTAACACATACAGAAAACATAGCTCAACACGTACAGAATACAGATAATTTAACACATACAGAAAACATAGCTCAACACATACAGAATACAGATAATTTAACACATACAGAAAACATAGCTCAACACATACAGAATACAGATAATTTAACACATACAGAAAACATAGCTCAACACATACAGAATACAGATAATTTAACACATACAGAAAACATAGCTCAACACATACAGAATACATAGCTCAACACGTACAGAATACATAGCTCAACACGTACAGAATACATAGCTCAACACGTACAGAATACATAGCTCAACACGTACAGAATACATAGCTCAACACGTACAGAATACAGATACTTTAACGCATACAGAAAACAGATAATTTAACACATACAGAAAACAGATAGCTCAACACTTACAGAAAACATAGCTCAACACGTACTGAAAACAGACACTTCATCACATACGGGAAACATACCCCTCAACATATACAATCAACAGGCACCTCAACTCATACAGAAAACAGACACACCGTTACATACAGGAAACAGACATCTCAACAGAAACAGAGAACAGAAACTTCATTACATACAGAAAACAGACACCTAAACATATGCAGGCAACAGACATCTCAACGCATACAGAAAACAGACATCTCAACACTTACAGAAAACAGACACCCCGTCACATACAGAAAGCAGACATCTCAACAGAAACAGAGAACAGCAACTTCACTACATACAGGAAACAGACACCTAAACATATGCAGGTAACAGACATCTCAACGCATACAGAAAACAGACATCTCAACACTTACAGAAAGCAGAGCCGATAGTAGCGTTGTTGTGAAATAATATTTATTGTATCCGATTGTAGCTGTTAGAATGAAGGTATAACTGAGGTAAGTTGAGGGTAAAAACCAGGGTAGTGTTGGAGTAAGATAGAGTTGAGAAAGAAGGTGAAACTAAGATAAGTGGAATATAAAACAAAGGTAAGCAGGAAAGTTGAAGACGACAAAACAGGGGTACGTTTAAAGTAAAAGAGAGTTAATGAAGGTAAAACACATATGAGTTAGAGATAAAACAGAGTTGAGAGTTAAGGTAAAACACATGTGGAAATTCAGGTACCAGTGTGTGGAGGAAAAATTAACATGTTAAAGCATGTTAAAACAGGGAATGAAGGAGAACACATTCAATGTGAACGACAAGAATGAGTGAATGAATAAATGAATGAATGGCAAAGAAAAAAATGACAGTACAAAGTAAATAATAAAGCAAGAAAGAAAGAATAAACGGAGAAGAAAGGAAAAGAAAGTAAAAGCGAAAGAAAGAATAAATGAATGAAAAAGAAGAAGGAAGAGGCAAAAGAGAAGAAGAAGAAGAAGAAGAAGAAGAAGAAGAAGAAGAAGAAGAAGAAGAAGAAGAAGAAGAAGAAGAAGAAGAAGAAGAAGAAGAAGAAGAAGAAGAAGGAGAAGGAGAAAAAGAAAACTAGGAAGAGATGTGAGCGCACGGTGATAATCAAGTGTTCAAACAAAGTATAGAATAAAGCGTCACAGACGATAGAAATCATTCCGTTTGTTGCTGTGTAAGATCTAGTCTGTGTTCGATGTAGCATCCATCCCCAGGCCTAACTCGTTCACCTGGTGTCAGAAAGAGGAAGCGTTTGAAGAGTAAGGAGCGGGATGGGGGGAACTGTGCAGGTGAGTGCTGCTGTTTTCCCATCTTTGTTTACCCAGTCAGCTGACGACAGGTTTTGGCTCACATGTGTAGCCACCAACACATTTAGAAACAGCACGGCACCTTGGCTGGAATCTCCCAGCTGCCAGATTGTTTCGTTTGAAAATGTTGCAGGCAGTCATTGAGCGGTTATATGTGCTGTTGCAGGCAGTCACAGAGTGGTTATATGTGCTGTTGCAGGCAGTCACAGAGCGGTTATATGTGCTGTTGCAGGCAGTCACAGAGCGGTTATATGTGCTGTTGCAGGCAGTCACAGAGTGGCTATATGAGCTGTTGCAGGCAGTCACAGAGCGGTTATATGTAATGTTGCAGGCAGTCACAGAGCGGTTATATGTACTGTTGCAGGCAGTCACAGAGCGGTTATATGTGCTGTAGCAGGCAGTCATAGAGCGGTTACATGTGATGTTGCAGGCAGTCATAGAGCAGTTATATGTGCTGTTGCAGGCAGTCACAGAGCGGTTATATGTGCTGTTGCAGGCAGTCACAGAGCGGTTATATGTACTGTTGCAGGCAGTCACAGAGCGGTTATGTGTGCTGTTGCAGGCAGTCATAGAGCGGTTATATGTGCTGTTGCAGGCAGTCATAGAGCGGTTACATGTGCTGTTGCAGGTAGTCACAGAGCGGTTATATGTGCTGTTGTAGGCAGTCACAGAGCGGTTATATGTACTGTTGCAGGCAGTCATAGAGCGGTTACCTGGCTGTTGCAGGCAGTCATAGAACGGTTACCTGGCTGTTGCAGGCAGTCACAGAGAGGTTGTATGTGCTGTTGCAGGTAGTTACAGTGTCGTTATACTTGTATGTACTATTGCTGCTGATGCAGCTATTTAAAGTGCTTTTACATGTACCGTTGCTGCTGATACAGCTATATACAGTGCTGTTATATGTACTGTTGCTGCTATGCAGCCAGTTCCAGTGCGGTTACATATACTGTTAGTGATGAGAACCACTCTTTCGTCCATTTGTCACGAAACTGCAGTTGAATGTTTGTTTTTCCGGAGGCGACTTATAAGTAGTGCAATGAGGGCACGTCACGGTAGAAAGGGCCCTGTAGACAAAGGTATCCTGTAGACAAAGGTACCCTGTAGACACGGGGCCCTGTAGACAAACGACCCTGTAGACACGGGGCCCTGTAGACACGGGGCCCTGTAGACAAAGGTACCCTGTAGACAAAGGTACCCTGTAGACAAAGGTACCCTGTAGACAAAGGTACCCTGTAGACACGGTGGCCCTGTAGACACGGGGCCCTGTAGACAAACGACCCTGTAGACACGGGGCCCTGTAGCAAAGGGCCCTGTAGACACGGGGCCCTGTAGACAAAGGGTCCCCTGTAGACGAAGGGCCCTATAGACAGAAGACAAACCATAGAGCACACACTGCAGCGACACTTCAAGACACCATGGACAAGGAACAAAACGATGACGAAGAGATAAACACTGGAATTAATCGACATTCAGGCATAAATGACGACAACAGCAATAAAACACAAACACACCATCCGAGAATCTAGTTAGTGTTTATCTCTTTCAGTACATTCACACATCACTGTCACTCATTGATTACTCAGTGCTTATTACGTACAGTCGAATATATTTACACACGGGGGGGGGGGGGGGGGGGGGGGGGGGGAACCAAACCACTCAGGACCAAACAGAAGTTAAAGTAGCATTTGGGATGGTGTATGTTTTTGTAACAAATGCACGAAGAACAAAGTGTTCACATAGTGTACCGTGTAAGGAGTACACAGTAAACGCACAGTAACTGGGACTGAATGAGTTAAGGGTTCGGCGCTAACCGACATGTCAAATGATGATGATGATGATGATGATGATGATGGTGACATTAGTATTTGCCTGTAGATGACATTTAGCTTTCTCGTTATCTAAAGTAGGTTGAGCGTTATCGAGAGTCACTTTCTTCCGAGTGGCCTGAGATATCAGAGACCCCTGGTTGCAGATATGGGAGACCACAAGTTTATCAGTGGCAGGGAGAGCCGAAAGTGCGATCCCCAATGTGTGGTAGATAGTGTGTCTGTGTGTTTGTCTTCTAACAGATTTCTAAGTAGGCACTAGACAGTCTTGATTTGTTGCAGAGTTTACCTGAGTTATTCTTCTTCTTCTTCTTGACTTCCTCTTTTACCGCTGTGGGTGTCGAGGGAGATATAAGGTTCTGTTTCTCGCTCTTCTGGCTGCCTCGACCATAGGCACATCGTGCTGTTGTAGAGTTTCTCTGATGTTATCCTTCCATCTTGTTCTTGGTCTACCTCGTGCTCTACGTCCTTCTTCTCTTTCCATGTATGCTTTGTATGGTATGGTGTCGCAAGGCATTCTCTCTAAGCGGTCAAACCATTTCACTTGCTGTCTTTGTATTACCCGAGTTATTAGCAGCAGTAATTTAGCAGATGTAATTAGTGGGCAGCAGTAGCTGCAGTGGAAGCAACGGTAGAGTAGTCAGCAGCAGTAGCAGCATCATCAGTAGCCAGCAGTAGTAGCAGAAGCAAAAGTAATAGAAATAATAATAGTAGCAGTAGCATTAGTACCACTGCTACTGCTAATAGTAGTAGTAGTAGTGGTAGTGGCAGTGGTAGTGGTAGTGGTAATGTAGTAGTAGTGGTAGTAGTGGTAGTGGTAGTGGTAGTAGTAGTTGTAGTGGTAGTGGTAGTAGTAGTGGTAGTGGTAGTAGTAGTAGTAGTGGTAGTGGTAGTAGTAGTAGTAGTAGTAGTAGTAGTAGTAGTAGTAGTAGTGGTGGTAGTGGTAGTGGTAGTGGTAGTGGTAATAGTAGTAGTAGTGGTAGTAGTAGTAGTAGTAGTAGTAGTAGTAGTAGTAGTAGTAGTAGTAGTAGTAGTAGTAGTAGTAGTGGTGGTGGTAGTGGTAGTAGTAGTGGTAGTGGTAGTGGTAGTGGTAATAGTAGTAGTAGTGGTAGTAGTAGTTGTAGTAGTAGTAGTAGTGGTAGTGGTAGTGGTAATAGTAGTAGTGGTGGTAGTGGTGGTGGTAGTAGTAGTAGTAGTAGTAGTAGTAGTAGTAGTAGTAGTAGTAGTAGTGGTAGTAGTAGTAGTAGTAGTAGTAGTAGTAGTATTAGCGGTAGTAGTAATGGTGGTAGTAGTAGCAGTAGTACTAGTAGTGGTGATTGTAGTAGTGTCTTGGTGGTTCTGACAGTAGTAGTAGCAGCAGCAGCAACAGTAGTAGTATTAGGTGTAAGAGTAGTGGTGTTGGTACTAATTGTGGTAGAAGTAGTGGTGCTTGATATTGACGAAAATTAAAGTAGTAGTATTAGTAGTGTCTTGGTAGTATTTATAATCTTAGTCGACAAGTAGTATTAGTATAGTATCATCTTGCTGGTGGTGATAGTAAGGGAAGCAGCAACAGCAGAGGCAGCAGCAGCAGCAGCAGCAGCAGCAGCAGCGGTAGTTTCGTGATTGCGGTGGTGGCTACCCAGTAGTAGTGACGGGGTGGTAGCAGCAATAATAGCGGTATCCGCTTTTTCAGGAGTAATATTTGTAGTAGTTGG